TGTTGGTTTGCCTGTCAGTCCGCATTCGTATCAGAGCCATGTTATTGTATGCTTTGGTTACTGAGGTCAGCTGAGTCTCCGCGTCGGAGCGGCCATCAGCCGATGCGGTTTCCTGTCGTCTCCACTTCTGATGCGAACCAACAAAAGGGGCAGGGAAACAATTGTGCCACAGGATACGCACAATCTCATGGACGCTTTTGCCCCTATGCAGGTTGCCAATTAGAACGGTTCAGTGTAGAGAACACGCGGCAGGTTTTTTCAGGTGCTCACTGATGCAACAAACAGGGATACAGCTGGACGTGTATTCTCAGGCTGCCAGTCTTTAATAAGAACTTTATATCGTTTTTTATATGACTAACTAGTGATTCCTCTACCGGCCGGTATAATCATATAAGTTTAACTTACAAACCTCCAAAACCAATCACTATCCATTCCACTGTAGTTTAAAATTAAATCGTGCATTGCATCCTTGGAACAACCGCTGTTTTTCTCTAGTACTTAAATTTTAATAATCTGCTAGCCATTTATCCTCAGTACAAAGTTATTACGATTTGGAAATCAACTTCCGCTGGATGTGTATGGTATTTATAACCAGAAGTGTGTAATCAACTCTCATGTTAAGACTGTGCTTGGAAAACGATTTCCGAATGATCAAATGTATCTCACTGCGAAAGCCATGTGTACAAAATACGAACACTCAGGGAGCTCGTACGATCAATCCAGCAGAAAATTTTCAGTTACTCCTGAAGAGCAAGCTCAAATTCCGCTGATCATTTGCAGTAAGGCACGATTACTTAGCTTGAAAATTGCTACTATCGACAACGTTTAGATCGAATATGATTTGCAAACACTGCATTATTGGGATACTGCAGAAAAGCTGGTTACGAACCGACGGTCTTCGAAAATGGTCCTCCGTAGACATATTTACTTACACTAGAGCAGATCAGACCACTCATTAAATAATAAAATATGTGAAGAATTTGTGATCATATACATTAGGAAGACCGGAATAAATCGGTTTCAAGCGGGCCGCCTTGTTCAACTTCCTTAAAAGTCTTCATGCTTTCGTATGTTAATCAAAATTCCTTAGTGGTTTTCTGTCTCTTCAGTCGGTAACTTTTGTGTAGCTTTTGGCACATTTCTATCACAGATAGTACTTGCAACTCACGTTGTGTCGCAGATATAACCGAAGGTAGATTAATTCATATGCACCATAACTAGTGAATTCAATAGGTGTGACACAGTTTTCATTAAAATGTTGCTTTCAAAACAAAGTTTATGCAACGCCTGGACGTATTGCTAAGCGACTTGTGAACGGGTTACTCGAAAGAAGCAGCTTCCGCAAGGCTACGTGGGTAGGCCAGTAGACCCACTCTCTGAGTTTTGTACATTTAAGTACAAACAAAACTTGCTTATTTACTTGTATCATCGTGCCGCCAAAATCAGTAGCAGGAAGTCAGAGAAGAGCAGATGAAATCACATTTTTCGAACGCTGTAAGAAAACAATTACCCCGATCGCCTTACAGAAGACACGCCAAATACCGTATGAACCAACAAACGGTTCTGACTGTACGGAAGAACGTTGTCTTTCACCAAATCTCTTTCAAATGCAATGTTGCTTTCGATCTACTGTGCAGACGACTCTCTACTGCAGTTGCTAAAGCCTACCCAGACACCTACCCAAGTGTCCTAGCTCAAACGACTCAGTTTATTACCCAATGCCTTAAGAACAGTCTGACGGTTCAGCCACAATCATGTCTTTTACCCATTTATTAGCACCTGTGGTATGTGATATATTGAGCACACTACCAGACGTCGGTTCAAACGGATAGCCGAGCATTGTCCGGGTTCCCTACGAACAGGAATGTTCAGGAACCTTAATTGTGCTCCCATGGAGCACTTATTTTAAACTGGCCATGTGATGCGGACAGGGGATTCATACCTAATGCACTATGCCGTATAACAGCTGTATCCCAAAGGGCTAAGGAAGCGACGTTTGAAGACGGCTGAGGCGAATGCAACCAGAGTGACTCAGCCAGATTTGTGCAAGCAGAAGGCTCTTTCCAAGCCCTCCTTGTAGCATGCAGGGTTGGAAATAATTTGCATAAGACGCTGGAAGCAAACGAGGATGTTCTTTATCCCACTGGCTGTCTTGAGACCTGCCTTGAATGGCTCGATGTTGGTATTGCTTGATTTGATCAGTTTTGTTCCAATCACCTTCGTTATTAATCTTAGCACCGTTTTTACTAGCACACTTGCTTGATTTACACATGCTTGTAAATGTGCTGTCTAAAGAGTCTTATCGAAAAAACGCCGTCTCTTCGCAACTGAGACATCAGGTTTTGCCGACAAATGTAGCTTGCTTTCCAAAAAATACACCCCAACTGTAATTTGGACTATTACATGAAAAATCATGCTCGAGGACTTATGAAAGGCAAACAGCATTGTGATGACAAATGCCATACAAAATTGTTAACAGGTGAAGTATTACAGATGCTTTATTCAACCGACTACTCAATTTCCACAAATGAGATCTAGTCAATAAAATGCGATCAAATCACCGACTATAATAATCTCTGCTTCAAGCTGCGTAGCGCAATGGAGACAATCTACGTACGGATTAACCAATTGTCATCACCACTACACCAACAACCATGTAAGAAAAATGCGCCTCCTTATAAAGTTAAAATAACTGCTAGTGTCGCCTGTCTGTCTGCTACTATAAAGTTTAGCTAGGAAGGTTAAAAGGCATGTATACTAAAACCATTTTGGGTAAACGCATTTTCCTTTATCTGTGGAGGCTCTCGTATAAACTATCCTTGGAAATGCTTGTAGCCCATTAGGTACTTTGGATTTGGACAAACCCATCACTGATCCTCCGAACTTATTTGACAATACCATGTTTGCATCTAAGTTACAAACCTAGAGCAAACAAGGATAGTGACTCTTATGTGTTGATAGCAAAAGCTCTTGGATAATGTATGGATGCATCAAAGTCACTTCCGACAGTGATCTTTACAAATAGTTGATGTCCGGCACCATCCGGTGATCCGGAAAGCAGCCAGAATAACTCCAGCGCGTAGGATAGAATTCCAGAATTGTCGGTCAATAATGTGTATCACTGTAATTTTGAAAATACTTAAAATATTACTAATATCCCGCATTTACACAAGCGATTATACTAATAAATCCAAACGTGTGCCCACAAATCGGGGTGGTATATATTGCATGCCATTTTGCTCCTTGTGCATTCCAATGTCGGTGTTGGACAAAATTACCATCACCCCAATATATTTGTATGCAATTACAGACTCCTACTAGTAGCTATTTTGCACGGAACTGGTATTCCCCTATGGGTATGAACCGATAAGCTCGACTATTTTACAAATGGCACAGAAATCAAGCAAATGTGTGGCAAAAGATCACCCGTACTCCCAACCGATTAGGGTGAATTCCCCTTTCTAGTTGCGCCCTAACGTGAATGTCAGTCCATAAGATTCGGTTTCATCGAACGTAAATATGCTGATGACGTCGTCCAAGTCGTATAACACAGTAATAGAATATGCTTACGAAATCCAAAGAGGATTAGATGAATTCATGAAATCGGCACGCGCCACGTCTCCCTTCTTATTTCACTAAGCGTTTTGATAGCACGTACTCTTTTCTCGTTCTTGGTGGACACTTCCCTTGTAAATACATTATCCCATTCGGTCTTGAATGATTAAGGCATTTTTCGTTCCGCTGCCGTTTTCATGGCTTACATTTTATTCTGGTCTCTAAATAATTTCTAGCGCAAATGTAAATAATTCCAAGGTTTGTAAATATGCATTCTTCATCCCAGGTTACAACGATCCTGTCTTCTTCCGCGGAACCTTCGCATGTATTCTAACCTACTTTGCGCTCAGAAAGCATTCTTACAGCGCTAGAGTTAACAAAGAAGACACCGTAGAAGTTATCGTTACCAAAGTTTTCCATATATGCCTCAGTCATGCATCAAGGACTCCAAACGGCCCCAATCACCTCCTACTTACTGCTGTTTGTAGTACGATATCTATATCATCCAAGGAGTAGTCAGTTGACGATCTGCATTTTCGGAGGTTGTTGCATCACAATTTCATCTTAGTCGAGCAAAAGCTATGGTGCACCAATTGACAGACAATTTGCTTTGGCAACAATTCGTATTTTCCCTGTAACTTGTAACGTTTCCTTGATGCTGTTTTATAATATCTCCACAGTGTTAATTTATATAATCAAACTTGATCACTCATGTTGATTAAATCTTATATGCACTTACTAAAGTTGTCAACCAAAGAATTCAGCTAGATACTGCAGACGAGAAATTGAATTATGCGTTGCCTGATGATGCTCCCACAGGAATTTGCACGATAATTTTGAAACCATGAATTGACACTTAAGCAATTTTTCTAGTAGTTTAATTATAGGGTGAAAATTTTGGATGTCTTAAAGCTACGTTGCATGTAGGACACTACTTAAGTAAGTAAAAGGACTCTTTATGGTTGCCATACGTGACACGTCTACAAAGGTATTCTCTGTTCATGTCTGGTCGAAAAAAGAAGTTCAGGTACGGTCAGCTGGGTGGACACTTGGGACACAATGGCGCAGAATGAAGTAAATTGTTTCTATGAATAAGGACAGGAGGCAAATGTTTGCAAAGGAATCAGCATTTTATCCTTTACTGAGCCATAAGTGGAAAGGCGAAAATTTTGTAAGCAATTTATGGCAAGAAATATCGTGTTCTGACGTGAGCACACTGATTTGGAAAATATGTGATGAAGAGAGGTTGCGTTTGCAGTTTTTCTCCACAACTCCGTGTCGCGAATATGTTTTGAAGAGTTCACATACAAGGAAAAGCACAAAAACCAAATACTCATCGACAGTCGAGTTTGATCAATATCGGATTACAAATGTCCATTTCAATGATACATGGTAAAATGAGACTGCCTTTTACATTTCTCTGGTTCACATCTCTACTGTTTCAGTTTCTGGAATGAGTAAGTTATCTTGTTAATAGCGTCACGAATAAAACTGAACAAAATTTCCAAAGTAAATGGTTTTTTCAGTATGCCACTTTTCCGTGAACATACTTTATAAGCAGTGTTGGCAAATCGACCTGACTTTGGTCGAAAGGGCTTTTACAGCTAAATTATTATATGGGAGATTGCTAAACGCAGCTGATAACATTGCATGCACATTTTGATGAATGCATTCGATGACGAAGCATGCACCAGGTAGTTAACGAGCCGCGCGACAAATTAATTCCTTTATTAAACCGCATAGTTTATCTCACTGTTGACATATTATAACTGCGAGCCGCCGAACATTCTGAATGGTTCGAAACACTGCCTTTACTAGAAAACACTTCAAACTCTTTATCATGTATGCGTTTAGCAGCATAATATCCATGGATATCTGTTAGGGGACACAGTAGGTGCAGTTTCCATATTTTGAATGGGAATCGCTCAAATATCTAATTAACTGACGCATACTGTAACATACGGAAACCATGATCAACTATTTCTTTTTGTCAAACTTTATGCAGTACATCATCGCTTAGCCAATGGAATCATAGACAACACGGATCCATCTATACGAACTAATTTTTAGATTATATTTTGTCAAACTTGCAATCGTAAAGCTGAGTAGGTCCTGTCCACCGAGCAGAGAGAAACCACTTTGCGTTTTGGGTGATTTAGTTCCGGGTGATGTTGGGAATTGAGCTGCTATCTTTCAAATGTGGATCAAGAATAATTGTGTCTGGAAAAGGTAGCTGACTCATACACTATAGAAGTTCAGTCATGACAAATCCGGTTGTCTGTCTATGACCATAAAATGCCACCCAATCATCAACGCCTGCAGGAAAAGGCCGGTAATAATTGGTAGGTTGGACGACAGTTCACATGTTTGTGATTTAGATGCAATTATTGTAGTATAGCCAAATGCATTCACAGTGGAATTACTGGAGCATTATTCGTCTTTTCACAGATGCATCAACTCCGCAAACGGTTCAAGGTTAGTTAACCCAAGTTTACAATGCACTGTGCAGCACGGTTTCCAAAGCAACGTTCACTCCTTACACGGTCATTGTCGAGGTACCACTATGTACATTCAGTTCCATACCGCCACATGACCATACGCATGCTCACACTCTCGCAGATTACAACAACGTATTCCATCTGCTCACTCTCAGCCTTATTTGCGGGTGTTACGTGACAATCCTTGAGTCGTAAATCCCCCAATAGTTTCATCAGTACGTCAGCAACAAAAGCATTAGATACGTCGGTGTCTTCTGTGATGGCATCGGGGTGCATATAACTGGCAATCCTATTTGCAATATACTCCGCATATCAAATACGCTTTGGTTATTTCCAATATGATTTTGCAAACCGTGGAATTATTTTATCATTTGGAAATGCGGATCAGCATGAGCACGCTCATGTAGTTTCTTCACACTTGGCAACAACATGCGTAACAGTGACCAGAGCGTGAGTTCCGTCTTTTCAAGCTAATCATGGAAAGCGGCCGATTGCCTTATATCATGCTATCCCGTCATCCTTTTTAGACTGTGAATTTGGTACAACGTAAAACGTTTAGTTAAGGAAAGAGGTTAAATCTTATTCCATCTGATTTGCTGAGCCACTGCCACTTGTCGACTCATTGGTCGTGATTGATCAAATTGACTTCTTCTTTCCTGTTAGTGATCATTTAACTTCGCTAAGGATTACGCAATGTTAGGTAATATTCATACCACCGATGCGACTCCATGATTGTCCAAATAACGGTTGAAAAATTGCTGGAATTTTCTAAGGGAAGCTGTTAGCAATAACAGGTTGAAATCAACAAGTCCCTACGTAATTTCGGTCGCATACTGTGCCTCATACTAGTCTTTAAACGTACAATGGAGCATTGGTAACACCGCCTAATATCATATCTACTGTTGCAGATCACTGCGGAGGAGAGTTGAGTGGGCCAAATGGATTTTTGTCGTTCCGGCCGCAGCCATCATCTCCAGTTGTCTGCGTTTGGCGGATCATGGTAAAGCCAGGAAGAAAAGTGAAGCTCCTTTCACACTCCCTATTTGTGAGTTGATTGCGTTGCAAATCTGGCATTTGAAATGTAAAACCTGTGTTCGGTTACCGGTGGGAATCTATCAGACCTACGAGCTCATGAACTCAAGTGGAACAGCACCTACCTTTTCATGCATCAAACAGACTGCAACCAAACTGCGATGTTTCTGCGACTATCAACACAGACAACATCGCAAACTGTTATATTCCCATTAGTCCCTTTAATTGTTCAGCGATGCATGATGAGAAATAATCAACCGTACAAGACACAGCAGCAGAAGAAACATATACAAATGTAAATCAGAGCATTCCAGCGTGGAAATACAAATATCAGATGTCTAGGCATTGCACATTTTTGTGCAACATTTTTCATTTATTTGAAAGTTTTGTGTTCCCGAAAGTTGCGATATTTGTTGTATTCACCACATGTGTGGAAACCGGTGCAACGAGTGTACATATCTTCTCTGAGCCAATATGGAGTGTTTCGTTAACTGCCTCAGGCGGTGACCTTGGTATTGTTTGAAGGGGCTACGGACAGCATTGCATTATTTGGGTGATTGCTCTCACTTACTCTGCGGTATGTTAGAATGAGGTCTCCACGAAGCCGTAAGAATTTGTGGAGAACCCAGCAACTTAAAATAGGCGTAGTTTGCAGATGAGAATGGATAGTCTACTTTTGTCCTTAGTGGCTAGTTTTTGACGCTGCTTCAAGACACGAGTGTAATGTTTTATCCATGGCTCTCATACATAATCTGTATATTCAAAGACGTAATCGAATATACTAGTTAATCAACAAGGGCAACAGCCGGCGCACAAATTTGCCGAAAGTTTTCCTCAATTGCCACGATTCCTAAATCGGCTGCTTTCGAACATCAAAGTTAGTTGTCAAGACATTCTTGTGCGATAGTGCTAAGTCACTTGCACTGCATATTGGTTTCAAGACACGCTTCTCAGTAGATATCGGTTGATGAAGCGGCGGCCCATGTTCAGTAGTTGGCAATTTGCGGAGCTCGTACGTTCAGTATTAACCATACTAGCATGATACAAATGGTCAAACTTTAGGACTGAACGGTCGCTACTACCAGGTAGATGGTCGCATGTGACTGACTAACTAGACAACTGTGCATTAGTCAGAATTAAGTCCGTGATGGCTTGTTTGAAGCGCGGGGTCTGGTTAGTTGATGCATATCATTATACAAAATTTCCGTAGTATTAAACTCAACCAATTTTGATTTGGCTGATAACCCACAGGGAAATGCCAATAGTACTGATGATGCGTTGAATTTGCAAATGAATAAGAAGGAGTAATTTTTGGAAGCAGCATGTTAGACAGCGTGTGACAGAAATTCATCGCTGTATGCGAGAACTTTCTGGGGACTATAGACTCCTCTTCTTCTGAGATAAAGCAACACGACCTACTAGCTGCAGTGGACAAAATATTGCGACGGGAATAAAAAGGAAGTGATAGATATGTGCCTGGAATTTCAGGTACGTTCGGTAGCAGACAGAAAGTTCCCGCCGAAAGATTGGCGATCATTGGAAGTGGGTGAGTTTAATTCCTGGACGAAATTTGTCCTTTGAAAGCCACTTTACATGCCTTTCTGTGAATAACGATAAGTCGATTCATGTCAATGACCCAGTTTTGGAAGTTAAGATTAGAGCCCTGGAGCGTTGGCTTAGCAGCATTATAATTCTTGACGTAGTAAGAACTGGGTTCACTTTGACCGACACAATTTGGGTACTGTTGTATGCCCGGTTGGCTGATCTGAGGTAGAAAAAGCGCATCTGCCTCCTCATAGGGTAAGGTCGTTACTGTTTTAAAGAATGAATTTAACCTTACTCTGGTGGCCCAATTCTGTTGTTGTCGTGCCATGTTTGTAACTCTAATGATACCACCTCGGGCAGAGCAAAGGTTACTCCTAAAATTTTGGACCTCTCTCTGGGTAGTGTCTGGAGGCAACTAGATGGTTGACGTAGGAGACCACACCGTTTTGCATATTACAGCAACCTGTGATGTGCTTCCATTATTCACTGTCGTGTTTTGAGTTTCTGATTGTCGGCACGCTTCAACTCCGGTACACCATGAACCAATTTAACTTTCTTTTTATTTTGACGTGGCGCACTCGCGTCAGATTTCAGCTTCCATATTTCTGCCCATGGCTTGTCCGGAAAAATCCAAGGACTAACAGATTGAGGCTTGGTAAGGGAAGATTATCCAGGTCTTCTTTTAAGCTAACGGTTTCTGGCATTAGCCGATATTCGGATACTTTCGTAGATGATGGAATTCGTAAAAGCTGGGTAAGACTAGGAGGACGGCTGCTTCGCGTTGGAAGCTAATCTTAATCCAGTGGTTTTGCTCCTCAGATTGTCTGCTAATTGAAATTTTCTAATGGGTTCTGGGACATTTGGACACATTACCTGTATCGTCTTTTGTTGATATTTGTTGTGTGGTATGTATTGTGGAAACAGATGAAGTCGTACGCAAGAACATTTATGTGCAACGGTGTTAGTCATGCCATCTTCAGTGGTCAGTTATTTTTGCCCATCGAATAACTGAGGTGTTACTCCAACTTCTGTATTGCACTTATTGCCACGTAAAATTTCCTAAGGCGTTGGAGACCGTTCAATCTTCTTGCCGTCAAAGCTGATTCTTCATAATGACGTTCATTCTTCGCCAGAATGGGTGAAATTTTGCTTGTGTATTTCTCTCATTTAACAATTATATGGTTGGGGATACGTTATACACTACTCTGTAAATCGAGTTCAGTGAATTTCATTTCCCTTACCATGGTATGTTCATTTTGCTTAGCTGATAAAAATGCCATCACTTCGCACCTCGTTATAAGGGTTTTGACCAATCCTAAACATAGGATTATCTGAATGTGTATCAAAGAACTGCCAGAGTATAAAGCACTGAGTTCCTTTTATCATTCTAAATAAGACAATGAGAAGACTGTTATTGCGAGATGGAACCATTTCGTGTTATATGCTCACTCGCAAACAAACAACATACATTTGGATAATGTGACAGAACTATCGACGTTTTGAAAATGGGCACAAAGGAAAATTACGCAGACGAAAGAATAACAGATCCGCGAGCTTGACCTTAGGGTCATGAGTCCCAAGGAAGACTTGTTAGTATGCTGCTCTATGTGCATAATTTTACCTTTATTTCATTATAGGAATTGGCTGCTTGCGAGCACGTGATCCAGCGACTAAATATTTTGTTAGCCTGTTGAAATACGTTTGAAAGTATGCTTGTTGTTCATTGGTTTTCTGGGCAATATACCTCTCATGCCCATGGGCCAATGCTTCGTATGCACTCTGGTCACACCAATTGTTAACGAAGTTATGTTTACCCTAGTCAGCCGGGATTGCCGCTGTGCCAGCGGGTTGGTTATTGATGCGTCACTTGTAGCACCGGTAGATCAATTCACAAGAACATGCAGGAGAACGGATGAATTATCTGTGTTAGATGCAGGGAGACAAAGCAATCAGCAGCTAAGCTGGGTCGTGTTGCACACCTGTATGTTATATATTGTCAATAGTCTTTAAAGAATTCCGTTACATCGATCCACAACCTCAGTGAAGGAGCTCAAAAAACAAGGTTGCACGAATGAACTGCCGAAGACGTCGTTTGTGTGCTGCGTGTCGTTGAACCTGAAACCAAAACATAGGTCCCGTTGAATAGAGCTTGATGATCCGAATCGATTGAGCATAATTCCGAAGAGGTGAAACAAAGTGAGGTGAAAAATCCCAGTTAACATAAAGCACAACATTATACGGCCGATACGAGAGTTTTCACACCTAAATTGTACAACTAAATTCTGTCACAATGTTAGAACATATTTTCAGATGCTGCATCTAATTATGTTGCTAGTAATGGAACTGACTTATGTTACTTGCTTTAAGTGGCACTATTTCTCAGCTTCTATTGATTAATAACAACGTTATTCTCAACAGATGCCTTCCCGCGGATCTCGGTTACGTGTGTTAGACGGAAGCAACTGTGGATGCAATATACTGAGAGAGCTTACTCAATATGAAAGATTTCCTCAAAACGGCATTGTCTCAAATAGCAATACGATGACGGTTGTGTACACAGAGATAGTTAGTGAAACGGGGTTGACAAATATTTACGCCACTTTTTCAGAGGGTAAGTTTTTTCAGTTCACCTGCCTCGGTCACTCTAAACAGCAGTTGCGAGTTGTCCTTCGTGTCGATCTTTTACTATTTTATTTGCGTCATTTTCACCTGTGGCATGTTTCCATACATATATGTAAATTCGTTGGATGATGAACATATTTTAGGCCAATCTTACATATAAATCGGTCGATCGAATGTTTCATTTCACGCGCAATGGCCCACACCATGCCACTTGGCTTTTGTGAATTTTTGAACACTCAATGTTTAATGCTAAAATTTAGTGGTTAATTAGGGATGTAACAGTTGAAACTTAACATTATATTAGACTAAGAGATTGGATAGCTCTCTTAGGCAGAAAACAACTGCAAATGATGAACAGAATTTAATAATAAATTTTCCGGTGGAATTTTTGTCCACCTGCTCGTAGTCCAAGGCTCCTTGCGCCTTGGATGTATATAATGACTAATTTTTCTACCAAATATTGCTTGGAGTTGTGCGTTTCGTTTTCTTGACGTTCGTATGCGTCATGTTTGTTATTTAATGCGATACAATGTGACCACCACACTGTCAAAATTATACGCAGCTAACATACTGGCTCAGAAACTGATATAGTAGGAGACGCCAGGTGGGCCAAACGCATAGGAAGAAAATTTTTTTATTGATCATGCAAGCAGCCGTATTTTTATCCAGTCGTTGATCTTCGCACCTAAGTTTCATGTTACGGCGGTTAGTTAACATTTGATATCATGCTGGATTATAGATGATTAACAACCGTTAATCAACCATAATTTTACCTCAGAAACGGTAAAGGCATCCACCATAATCTCTTGACGAAATCAGTCGCTGTGCTTAAAGCAAATAACAAAAATAGAAAAATAAATGGATCAGCTCTTTGACGCATTTGGACCGTGGACGATGAAATCACCCCTCATTCACGGCTGCCATGTCTGAACCTCATACTTTACATACAAGTGTTTTCATAGAGCGAAATAGTTAAGGGCCGGAAATAAATGTGCCCAAGAGATTAGAAACATTCTGTAAGAGCCCAATATTGTGATGCCATTTTTGATTAGATTTATGGTTGGTGCTAGCGTCTGTTTTTCTCGTGAACACGCACAGAGTGCCCCTTTCCACGGGTACAATATTGCAGATTTTCGTTGCCCAGCTTACAAGTGGAAGACGATTAGAATGGTAAATTCTGCCCTCAATTTATAATTATTTGCATATGAAGACAATTCTGGCACACGAATCGCAATCCGCAAATCCACAGTTTTATTCCCATCGCTTCATTAATGTTGCACGCAAGTACCTGTCAATTAGGTCGGATGTCGTGCTCTCCCATTATCTTAATAAATATGAAGAATTGCAGGGATTTAGTAGTATAGCACATGGCTATAAAAATATGAGCATTACCGATGTAGGTTTTAAATAATTTATAATGTAATCTGTTTTCTTTCATAAGGACGACCAAGGTCTAAAATGCTCATGTTACGTTTACTGAGTTCGGAGTTATCATTCATCTATATTATGTGCAAGAAAGAATTGTAGAAAACGGAAAAACTGCAGGTTGTGTATATTTCCTATATCGATATGTCCGCGTTGTTAGTTAAAACTTATTACAAAAGCTATAACAACTTTCGATCATTTTCTAAGGATTTTGAACCAAGCATCGCCATGACTGGACATTAGTCTCGTCCTAAGCTTGGGCGGTTCGTCCGTAGCAATGTAACATGCGAAAAATAATGAAATTAGATGCGCAACTACTTGGAAGGATGGCAATTACAAGGAAAGTGATAACTTTGTAAACATGGTTATACGTGCACGCTAACTCTAATAATAAATTTTGACTAATAGCCATAAGAGGAAGGTACAGCCAGAGAACATCTCTATATTCACTTCTATTAGCATCCTTCGGATATCGATAAAGAGTACAATTTAACGCAACAGAAGTAGCAAGATTGGAAATAGAAGCTCCGTTTGTTTCCAATATTTGTCTTCCATGTGTAGGCTTGTGCTTTAACTTGGATATGGCCAGAAGATTGAGAAGGAAAGATGAACCAATAAGCAGAGATTACAACTCAGAGTGTTTTATTCCTTGAGTTCTTTGGGGACATGGGATCTGCGAGTTGAGCGTGGCGGCAAAAGCATAGAGGAGAACAAAAAACAAAAAGTGAAAAAGAGCTCCGTGTGTTTTCCCTATGCATCTAAATTTGAGCCAAACATTTAGACCGTCCGGATAATTCATGCAAGATATTCCGCACACAAATTTAAAAAAGGGGGAAGAGAACATTTTCATAGGTGAAACTGAATTCTGTTGTTTCGATTGTTCTCGTCAACCGTTTACATACATACCGTGAAATTATCTCGTCTCGTCGAAAAGAAAAGCAATTTGTAAGGTCATCTGCTTCTCGGGAAAACAATTAATTACCTCACCAAGGTAGGGCGAAGCTGCTCGCAAGTAATGCTTGATTGCATACACAGGGATTTAGCCGCCGAATAGCTGAAGACACGGCAAACGAAAGCAAGCGGGCATTGCTCTGCAACTTAATTATTTATACGAATCACGAAGAACTTGGCACGTAGTGAAGTCCAGGATGTGCTTCGCATTGGAGCTAGCCCGCAGCTTGGGACCGTTGGCGATTACGTTTCGTGGAATTGGTTCTGGAATCCTAGTGGACAGACTATTCTGTGTTCGGTCAACAAATTTCTGCTACAAAAAGTGGAGGGGATAAACACAGGATGTGATACCTTAAGGGTCTGGCTTGGCCAAATGTTATAACACCTGTTCGGCCGCATAATATCTTTCATCTACTGCCTGGCGGCGGTGCCAAAGTATTCTGTCAAACTGCTCCCTCTAAAACGGCAGCGTAATGAGCCCTTGAAAAGTTATCACGCGGCCAAAGCGGTTTTATAGCACCAATGTAAGAAGTTGCTCTGTAGACCAAACACAGTTAAGCCACACCCTCCCTGTACCACCACTTGTTTTGTCTTTTCTAATGTACTTGTGGTTGGAAGTATGTTGGCCGTACCGAGAGCAGTCTGTCCAGTAAGATTTCCGAGAATATTCAATAAAACATACGCTAACGGTCCCAAACTTCCGGCCATTTCCATTACAATATACATCCTGGAACCAGGTGCCAGCTTCCTCTTGGTTCATTTAAAGTAATTTACCTGCACGGATATACCCGACTGCCCCAATTTGCCAAAGCTTCAGCAATTTGACGTTCAATTCCCAATTTATGCAAGCAGGCTGTATCTACGACCAGTCTCGTCTTGGTAAGGTTGATGCTCGTTTTCCTTGAACTAAATGACCTTGGAAAACGATTCCCTTTTGCAAGCAACGCGATACCTTCAAGGTATATATGTAAACCGCTGAGGAGAGCGCGCGAAATAGCTGAATTCAGTTTATCCTGTAAACTATTTTTTATCCTTGCTGTTTTGACATCCAGATAGGAATTGCAAAGTGATAGATTTTTGTATATATTTAACACCTGGCACATCCTCTTACGCCAACGGAAGTTCACAAGGTATTGACAATTATAATATGCAGAAGCAGATAGCTAAATACAGCTAAAATCTCATCAATGAAATAGAATCTCACATGTCTACCATTAGGTGAAATTTTTAGCCATGCCTGGCAGAAGATACAGTCAAGCGTGTTCTTGATCCTTCCACACCCGGCTCAGTACTCTAGAGTAGCTGAACACTGTCACTCCCTATATGCTTAGGGCTTAGGCCATTCGTTGGTAAATTTACATCCGGTTCCCGCCCAATTTTGCATACACAAGGAAGACAAACGGTTCACTGTAATGAGAAACACGTGTCCAGTTCACCGTAACCGGCGCAGTAAAATTATACAAATTACTGGTCGGCAGCGTCTGTTTGATTTTAAAATATTCGTATATACTTCGTTATTTCTAATGTGCTTTTATGGCCGTACGCAAACGATGCTCTGAAGACAGAAATGATTCAAAGCAGATATCCATTAAACACTGCGTAGATAAATGTTCAATTCTCGTAGCCCTAGGACAAGACCTCTCGCACCGTATAATTATAGACTCCGTCATTAAGGGAGAGAACAAGGGTACGTCGACAATACAGATGATGGAGATTGGCATAGCAACCTGAGCATT